ATTATGTATGAGGTCAATTTTTTTTTATTGGAGTTAAAATTAACGTAGATATATGACCGAACCTAACCAACCCTACCTAACCTAACCTATCTTTATAGGTTAGGTTAGGTTAGGTATCCGAAAAAGTTAGGTTAGGTTAGGTTAGGTAGGTTAGGTAGACGAAAAACCATTAATTCATGAAAACTTGGCTTATTAGGCAAATCGGGCCTTGCATAGTAGGCTGAGAAGTGCGTTCTGGCTATTAGGTACGACATATATATATATATATATATATATATATATGTCGTACCTAATAGCCAGAACGCACTTCTCAGCCTACTATTCAAGGCCCGATTTGCCTAATATGCCAAGTTTTCATGAATTAATGTTTTTTCGTCTACCTAACCTACCTAACCTAACCTAACCTAGCTTTTTTTGGCTACCTAACCTAACCTTACCTATAAATATAGGTTAGGTTAGGTTAGGTAGGGTTGGTTAGGTTCGGTCATATATCTACGTTAATTTTAACTCCAATAAAAAAAAATTGACCTCATACATAGAGAAAAGGGTTGCTTTATCATTTCATAAGAAATAAATTATAGTAAATATAATAATTCAGGAAAACTTGGCTTATTAGGCAAATCGGGCCTTGAATAGTAGGCTGAGAAGTGAGTTCTGGCTACTAGGTACGACATATATATATATATATATATATATATATATATATATATATATATATATATATATACATATATATATATATCGTACCTAGTAGCCAGAACGCACTTCTCAGCCTACTACGCAAGGCCTGATTTGCCTAATAAGCCAAGTTTTCATGAATTAATGTTTTTTCGACTACCTAACCTAACCTAACCTAACTTTTTCGGCTACCTAACCTAACGTATAAAGATAGGTTAGGTTAGGTTAGGTAGGGTTGGTTAGGTTCGGTCATATATCTACGTTAATTTTAACTCCAATAAAAAAAATTGACCTCATACATAATGAAATGGGTAGCTTTATCATTTCATAAGAAAAAAATTAGAGAAAATATATTTTTTCAGGAAAACTTGGCTAATTAGGCAAATCGGGCCTTGCATAGTAGGCTGAGAAGTGCGTTCTGGCTACTAGGTACGACACATATATATATATATATATATATATGTCGTACCTAGTAGCCAGAACTCACTTTTTGGCCTACTATTCAAGGCCTGATTTGCCTAATAAGCCAAGTTTTCCTGAATTAATATATTTTTTCTAATTTTTTTCTTATGAAATGATAAAGCTACCCATTTCGTTATGTATGAGGTCAATTTTTTTTTATTGGAGTTAAAATTAACGTAGATATATGACCGAACCTAACCAACCCTACCTAACCTAACCTAACCTATCTTCATAGGTTAGGTTTGGTTAGGTAGCCGAAAAAGTTAGGTTAGGTTAGGTTAGGTAGGTTAGGTAGTCGAAAAACAAATAATTCATGAAAACTTGGCTTATTAGGCAAATCGGGCCTTGCATAGTAAGCTGAGAAGTGCGTTCTGGCTACTAGGTACGACATATATATATATATATATATATATATATATATATATATATATATATATATATATATATATATATATATATATATATATATATATATATGTGAACAGTGAAAAGAAATGTACGAAAGATTGAGAAAATTCGTGTTAGAATTATTAATCTTACTTTTTCGGTCATATTTAATAATATATGTCTACAGGAAAGACTGCTACCAAAATATACTAATATATATATATATATATATATATATATATATATATATATATATATATATATATATATATATATATATATATATATATATATGCAATTGACGATCACAAAACACTGATCATTTTATGCGGAAAATCCACAGAGAAATATGAAAGGAGGTGAACGTTTCGGCTTGTTAAAGCCTGTCAGTCTTGTGTTGACAAAGGCTTTAACAGGCCGAAACGTTCACCTCCTTTCATATTTCTCTGTGGATTTTCTGCATATATTATATATATATAATATATATATATATATATATATATATATATATATATATATATATATATATATATATATATATATATATATATATATATATATATAATATATATATATCACAAAAACACTGATCCAAGTTTGCGGAAAAACCACATGTGAAAAAATAGAGAATGCTAAAGGCGTTTTCGGCTTACATCACCTTCATCAGAGCAAAGTAGAATGAAGCATTCTACTTCATTCTACTTTGCTGTGATGAAGGCAATTTAAGCCGAAAACGCGTTTAGCATTCTCTATTTTTTCACATGTGGTTTTCCAACACATAAATACATACATAGTATTCATTTTGCTATTATTAATTATGTTATTGTTACCCGTCTATTCTGTTATTATTATCCGTTTTTTGTTATTATTGGCGTCAATGCTGGTCTCGTTGTGATATAAAGTTAAACAAATCATATATAGTATAATGACATGTTGCTGACTCATTCATACAGCGATAATATTTAGTGGATAACAAAACGACAAGTGAATAACATCACTAAAAGTTAAAAATATATAATTTAGAAAAACAAATTGAATAAAGAGAGGCGCCTAAGCAGCGAGAATTACCAGTTGGTAAACTGCCACAAGTGTTCAGCGCAAGTGTGCTCTGACGTAGGTTGACTCAGACAGGAATCATTAGTCAAATAATGGTTGAGACACTTCTCTGAAGTGTACGTGTTCACTACATCTCTTATTCACGCTCCCAGAAACATGCTCACATACATGTACACCTTCTGTGTAATTCTAGACTGTCGGAGAGGAATTATCAGGAGAAAACGTCAAGTCATTATGACTATATGGCACTGGGAAGGGGGTCAGGATAAGGATTATGGATGGGGCGGGGGAAAGGAATGGTGCCTAACCACTTGGACGGTCTGGGATTGAACGCCGACCTGCATGAAGCGAGACCGTCTCTCTACCGTCCAGTCCAAGTGGTTGGGGACTGTGGGAATAGTTTTGACATACGGCGGAAGCCTGCAAGAAACTATAAGAAGACTTGAACGATCTAAAAGAATGGTCCAACGGGTGGCTACTAGAGTTAACTCAAGCAAGTGCAAAGTTATGAAGCTGTTTGCTGGGAACAAGAGACTGGTCAGAAGGTACCAAATAAAGGAGGAATTCTCTTGAAATAGAAAGGAAAGGTCTTGTAGGATAATATTGACCAAAATAAGAACTGCCTTCAGTAATCTGTCATTCAGCATCTTAACCACATATGTCAGAGCAGTTCTGGAATGTGCAGCACCAGCATGGTGAATCTGTCGCGTTAAACACAAAACGAAGCTTGAGAAATCGAAGAAGAATGTTATCAGAGTACCAGAGACGAGCTGTATACATTATGAAGAAAGATCAAAGGAATTTAACATCACGTCATTGAAGATAGAAGAATTAGGGGAGAAATTATTACCACATTTCAAAATTTTTAGGGAAATGGACAAGACAGACAATAGAGAACATGCAGTGAATAAACAAGGGGACACTAGTGAAAATAAACCACTCATTAAGTCCTCTTTGGTACAATGGCTACGTTTTTGACTCACAATTGAGAATCCCGGGTTCGATCCCGGCACGGTTCCGTCCACCTGATGCCCCTATCATCCAGCAGTAAACAGGTACCAGAGAATTTAAGCAGCTGACTGCTTCCTGGGGGGTGGAGGCCTGGTCGAGGACCGGGCCGCGGGGACACTAAAGCCCCGAAATCAACTCAAGATAACTTCAAGATAGCTGTTGTGTTCTGGAGGTGTGCAGTTCTAGGTGGACCAGTGACCTAAAGACCCTAGTTATTGGTTAAATATTTTTATATTATTATTATTATTTACACGTTAGTTTCACAGGAAGTTAACAGCACCACACGAAGCTGTCAACACCACACACGGAGCTGTCAGCACCACACACGGAGCTGTCAGCACCACACACGGAGCTGTCAGCACCACACACGAAGCTGTCAGCACCACACACGAAGCTGTCAGCACCACACACGAAGCTGTCAACACCACACACGGAGCTGTCAGCACCACACACGGAGCTGTCAGCACCACACACGGAGCTGTCAGCACCACACACGGAGCTGTCAGCACCACACACGGAGCTGTCAGCACCACACACGGAGCTGTCAGCACCACACACGGAGCTGTCAGCACCACACACGGAGCTGTCAGCACCACACACGAAGCTGTCAGCACCACACACGAAGCTGTCAGCACCACACACGAAGCTGTCAGCACCACACACGGAGCTGTCAGCACCACACACGAAGCTGTCAGCACCACACACGGAGCTGTCAGCACCACACACGGAGCTGTCAGCACCACACACGGAGCTGTCAACACCACACACGGAGCTGTCAACACCACACACGGAGCTGTCAACACCACACACGGAGCTGTCAACACCACACACGGAGCTGTCAGCACCACACACGGAGCTGTCAACACCACACACGGAGCTGTCAACACCACACACGGAGCTGTCAGTACCACACGGAACTCTTCACAGTCTATGGCGGTTTTGTTTACACTTAACAGTGAGCTCTGAAGCACCAGGAGGCTGTTTATAACACTAACAACATTTCATTTGGAAATTTCGACGCTCGCAAACTGCCTCATAAGTGTAAACAAAGCCGCCAAAGATGGAGAAAAGATGTTCGTATTCTTAAATTCTTGCGTAAATAGTCGTTGATTTCTGCCCCAGATGGGTAGGGAACGGGGCAGGGAAAGGCGCTTTCAAGGGAAAGCGACAAGTCATTACGACTATATAGCACTGGGAAGGGGTCAGGATAAGGATTTGGGATGGGACGGGGAGGGGGGGGGGGGAAGGAATGGTGCCCAACCACTTAGACGGTCGGGGATTGAACACTAATCTGCATGAAGCGAGACCGTCACTCTACCGTCCACCCCAAGTGGTAGGGTTGCCCAGAAGAGTATATCTTCTGTTTCACACAGCAAGTGTAACGTATTGTAAGTAAATTGTCAGTATAAGTATAAGTATGTATATATATATATATTAATAATAATAATGGAATATATATGTAAATAGGACGCTTATAGTGCAGAATTATTATGCAGATTCTGAGATTGGTCTGGCAGTTACCCTGCGGCTGCTTCAGTTCGACTGTTGCTGTTGGTACAAGAGTAGTGTGTACTATTAGTCCCAGAACAGAGTGAGCACTAGACTATGACGTCTTGTTGATGTGAGTTTATACACTTGTTGTGAAGCCCAAAAGGTTCTGTTGTGGATCCTCCAGGAGGCGTCACCGGGATATTCATATCAGTGGTGTTGGCCTGAGAACTGATTAAGGCGGCGACGCTGTGAGGCACACAGGTCTTGATCCGGTGAAGAACGGCGCTGCGATAGTGGACGTTGAGGCCCACAAACACCGCGGGATCGATTACCAGGTGCAGGTTGAAGATCATGTGGATGATGATGTTGGCCAGGCGCTGACCCTCGAGTAAGTGCACTATCACGTGAGGACCGTCGAGAAGCAGGTTGGCCAAGAGGATGACCTGGATGGTGAAGGAGACGTGGTCCATGGTGGCGTCCGTCGTCCGCTCTCCCGCTCGCTTCTCCCGACGAACGATCTGGTGGATAAATGACAACTACTGTTGATCAATCCACACACACTAGAAGGTGAAGGGACTATGACGTTTCGTCGTAGTCCATCCTGGACCATTCTCAAGTCGATTGTCGACTTGAGAATGGTCCAGGACGGACCTAAACGTAGTCGTCCCTTCACCTTCTAGTATGTGGTCTGGTCAACATACTTCAGCCACGTTATTGTGACTCATCGCCTACATAATGACAAATACTGTCACAGAGTATTGCTGACGAGTAGTTTAAATCCTATTAAAGTCAGACACCTTTTGCGTAGGTTGTGTTCAGAGGGACTGTAATGCTGGCTAGTTCCTGAAGCTGTCTCCAAAGGGAATATTTTGAAGACAAAATCTAACTCAGATTCTGAATATAGAATCGAAATCTAACTTACCCTAACCTAAACAGGCAGACTATTCCCCAATATTACAAAAGTTAATTAAAATTCTACCGATATTAAATAATAACTGCAGAAATCATTCACTTATGTCACATCTTCGTGAAATTACAACCAATAAAGGGTAAAAACTACGCAATCGGAAGGTGGCGCGTCAAGCGATGTTTTGTCTAACAACCACCACATTAAGGTCCACAAGGTCCACAAGGTCCACAAAGTCCAATAGGCCTAGGACACAGCCTATACTTACGGCTACAATGAGGAGTATGTAGGCCAGGAGTGTAGCAAGGAAGGTGGTGGTGTAGTTGACCCCATACCACCTGTAGACCATATCGTTCAGACTTTTCTCCCCAAATTTGACCTGCGAAACCTTTCCGTCATAGTGCACATCACCGTGGCTCTGGGGGGAGTAATTGTTATTATTAAACATTTCATTGACATAATTAATAATACAGTTTTGTGTAATCGGAGTAATTAGGTGTTTTTGCAATTAGGTGGTTTTTGTTTGCTGCTTATAATCACTGCTATACAAGACAGACGATCATTCATAAGGTCCAAATTGTAGATTCAAACATATTTTGTGAGGTCACACTGTGCTGCATTAGATATTATACATATTTTAGTCTACAAATTTGTAATTGCAACTTCCTGTTGTTCACTGCCACACAAGACAGAGATGGATTCATAACAGAGGTTGAGAATTGTTCTTTTTCTTTAAGCATCCAGCACTGTCTAAATCCTCCCTATCATTTCATCTCTAAGCTGTTAGACTCGATCTTAGGATGTTTAATTCCTTTACCATCATACTAATTTCAAGAACAAGGGTAGATTCCAGTCTCAGAGTATTGTATGTAACAACACATGAACACAATATACACATGTATATGTGTATATATGCATACTAAATATATACACATGCATACTAAACTCACAATACTCCTACTCACATCTTCGCTCCACCTCCCAAGTTGTTAATCAACCTTAAACGTTGAACATAAAATCACCAGAACTGCAGACGAGTAATGGCATGACAGGCTTAACAACGTTGTTGTTATTGTTACAGATTCAGCTACTCGGAACAAGTTCCAAGTAGCACGGGCTACGGTGAGCCCGTAACTTACCTGGCACAGGAGCGGGGCAAGTAGCACGGGCTATGGTGAGCCCGTAGTGGACTTACCTGGCACAGGAGCGGGGCAAGTAGCACGGGCTATGGTGAGCCCGTAGTGGACTTACCTGGCACAGGAGCGGTGCTGTGTGTCGGTTTGACAACGCACCAGACGTGTAAAGGCACGAAAGGCTTGACAACGTACCAGAATGACGCCCAAGAGCCAGGGTAGGACGACATAGAATGCAAGAACCGCCTCCATAATTAAGACGATACTGACTCTGGAGACCTTGTGGAAGACGTGAGGCTCCCACACCGCCACACACCTGCAACACACACACACACACATCTTTATACTCCTCAATATCTGCTCAATTAAATATAAAATACATAATGTAGCTTTAAAAATGACTTTATGGATTATTATCATTATTGCCGTTCCCACTTCTTAGAGAGGCTCCAGCTTGCATAAAATAAAGCAATATGACATATAAATCGTGATTCTTAGATGTGTTGACTTAGAAGGAATTATGGTGTGAAGGAGACTGTAATGAGATTGCTAAATAATTTGTTTAATGTACATGCGAGTCTCCAGAAGGTCTACAGTGGTTTACAATTTGCCAAGGTTAATTGTAAGACTCAGATTTGATACCTGGTTGATGGGGTTCTGGGAGTTCTTCTACTCCCCATGCCCGGCTCGAGGCCAGGCTTGACTTGTAAGAGCTTGGTCCACTAGGCTGCCCAGCATAGAATAATTCCCAGAGACAGTATATTCTATTCCCGGTATAGAATAATTACGAGTGTTGAGGTGATATGACACCTTAGTTAATGTTTTTGTATCTGCTTTGTGGAGGAACGAAATAAACCGGTTATATGAGTGAAGAGAGAGAGAGACAGAGAGACAGAGAGAGAGAGAGGATAGCAGTGGAGCCCGCTTTCCCTGATTTTAAAGGAGTACCATATGACAAGTCTTTTACCCAAAGTAAATACATCAGAACATTAAATTTATAGAATAACTATTATTAATGTAGATGCTCCCATTTTTTTATAAATATATATAATTAAATATAAATCATATACTACAGTGGGTAACCAACCTGAAAACAGAAATGGCTGTGAAGTTCACCCTCTCGAACTGAATAAGAAAAGTACTGAAGATGGATGTAGTGATGTAGAAGCCTTCAGGGACCCACTCGTACTGGCAGAAGGCCCTGGCGTGGTTGACGAAGGATATGGACGGGAGAGTGACCACACACACACCCAGCAAGATGCTGAAGAAGAAGCACAGAAGGAACTTGGTGGCCTTGTTAGTCCTGCCGCACTTGACCAGACACCACAGGCTCATGCTGTTACCTGTAGGAGGGAGACGACGTCAGTGGGCCAAGGTTACCTGACCTTCAGGTGATTTCGAGGCTTAGCGACCAGGGGCTAGAGTCACGAAGCAGTTACGCAAGCCCTTACGAACCTGTCCATCTTTTCTCAATCTTTGGCGGCTTTGTTTATAATTATTAAACAGTTAATGAGCTCCGAAGCACCAGGAGGCTGTTTATAACAATAACAACAGTTGATTGGCAAGTTTTCATGTTTGTAAACTGTTTAATAAATGTAACCAAAACCGTCAAAGATTGAGAAAAGATGTACACGTCCGTAAGTACTTAAGTAACTGCTTCGTGAATCTGGCCCCTGGCCTCCTGGTTGCTGGACTGGTCAGCCAGGCTGTTGGACGCGGCTGCTCGCAGCCTGCCAGTATGAATCACAGCCTGGTTGATCAGGTATCCTTTGGAGGTGAGTAAGGGAATGAGATATTGTAAATATCTGCAGAAAGTTCTAGATCAGTATGCCTGTTACTGCAGTTACACCCAGTTACACTTGACTGCAGTTACTCCCACCTGATGGCTTGCTTTACGTAGCATAACAAAAGACAAAAGCCGCATTAAAACTTCATTGTAAATAAGGGGGAACAAGAGTAAAGTCAAAATCAAAATTAAAAACAAAAGTTCAATTTAATAACACAAAATTCTCTCATATTTAACCATCGGGCCATAAACCTGATGGTTAAACGGGTTTACATAACCAGTGATGACTAAATTACCTTGTCGGTAGTTAAACAATGTGTCAGCACAAGGGGCAGGAATACCACAATTGTTTGAACATAGAATGTTGTGTTGACCAGACCACACACTAGAAAGTGAAGGGACGACGACGTTTCGATCCGTCCTGGACCATTCATTCTCAAGTCGATGATCTACCGTGTTTCCCGCGCATGTCATCTCCAGGTGGAGGCTGCCCAACGTTACTTAGCGAAGGGGGCTACACTGCGGAAGGCACATGCATCTACATGTTTTAATTCCTGGAGAGGACTTCAAACTGAATGTTTGCCAGCAAGTCTCCAGTATCTTTAGTTTTAACTGGAGACTTGCATATCCGGTCCACCTGTGAGCGACAGTCAACTCTAAGATTGACTTTATTACACACAGAAATCACAATAGCGTGATGCATCAAATGAACAAATCCACAAGGGCCGTGACGAGGGCTCGAACCTACGTCCGAGAGGATCCCAATTGATTAAGATTGAGTTTGCTTCTTGGGCAGATTATTATAACTTATGTTAATTAAACTGACATGAACCGGCACATTACCATAATTAGAATATAAGTTTTAACTTATATTTGTTATATTTGTGCTAACATAAGTTTATATATGTCTGTGTTATTATTATTATTATTATTGTGTGTTAGCCAAGTTTGTCAGTTGAGGCTGTTGTATATTTGTCATGTTATTTGTTCATTTTGATATTAAAGTAAATTGTCATAATTGTTTGCTTCCAGTGGTACAGCCGCTGGTGTTTGGCGTCCTGTAACGCAGTGCTCCAAACTCAATGATCCAGAGTTCGAGTCGCGGGCAGTACGAGATATTTATCAACTTTTCTTACACCTAATGCATCTGTTCACCTAGAAGTGGCACCCGGGAGTTAGGCAACTATTGTGGGTCTCATCTGGAGGAGGTTAGTGTTGTTGTTGTTAAAGATTTGCGACCTGGAACAAAATTCCAAGTAGCACGGGATATGGTGAGCCCGTAGTGTTTAGGGAGGTTAGTGGGATCTCCAGAAGCCTAACAAGCTTCCTGTCCCTGACAGCGTGAAGCCTAATACACCGGAATGCGTTTATCACCTCTAAGTAAGGATTTGGCTGACGTCACTTGGACGCCACATTGCACTTGTTAGTAACAGCTGTGTAAACTGTGTAAACTAATGATTGTATACTTCATAGACATACCTAAGGAACCTCCTATACGTTGCTGTTGTTGTTGTTATAGAGCTACTCAGAACAAGTTCCAAGTAGCACGGGGTATGGTGAGCCCGTAGTGGACCTATCCGGCACAGGAGCGGGGCTGAATCTCATGATCGATCCAGACCTCGATCATTGCTCAGTGTTACTGGTCTGGTGGCGGCAGCGCAAGGCGATTCTAGAATCTTAAATCGGTCAATCGTCTTAAGACCACGTAGCGGGGGGTCGGCTCAAATAAAAGTCTTGGGGTCCCTTGGTAGAGAGTTAAATTAGAATACGGGTACAGAGAGGGGATAGAGAGTACGAATACCCCCCCCCCCCCCGGTTACATGAGAATGGTCCAGGACGGACCGAAACGTCACTTCCTTCGTTTTCAAATGTGTGGGTTAGTTGTCTAATGCTCGGCCCCGTTATTGTGACATTGTCTGCATAAATATTTAAACTGTAATTTTATTCACAAAAGATAGTGATTATTTTTTCACTCTGAGGGAAAATATATTTTTTCCTGTAAATTATTAAATATGTCACATTGTAGAGCAAAATTTATTTAAAAAAGGAGAAAAATATTGACAACTTGACTAAATGACTTGTTCAGGGTCCGCAGAAATACCCAAGACCCGGATTCACGAAGCGTTTACGCAAGTACTTACGAACCTGGGGCCAGATTCACGAAGCAGTTACGCAAGCACTTACGAACCTGGGGCCAGATTCACGAAGCAGTTACGCAAGCACTTACGAACGTATACATGTTTCCTCAATCTTTGACGGCTTTGCTTACATTTATTAAACAGTTTACAAGCATGAAAACTTGCCTATCAACTGTTGTTATTGTTATAAACAGCCTCCTGGTGCTTCGGAGCTCATTAACTGTTTAATAATTGTAAACAAAGTCGCCAAAGATTGAGAAAAGATGTACAAGTTCGTAAGTGCTTGCGTAACTACTTCGTGAATCTGGCCCCAGGCTCGTAAGTGCTTGCGTAACTGCTTCGCGAATCTGGCCCCAAACCCACATCAGATGTACCCAAACAAACAGTAATATTTTTGAATGAGTCAAGAATAATTATCTAAATTATTCTCAAAGAAAAAAAATTGCTGTTTTTATGATACTAATTCTAACAGTTATGAAATAAAAAATAGGCCACGATAAACTAATTTGATAAGAAATGATAGAAAACATGAATTATCGCAGAACGTTAATGGATGCTGATGATATATGCGCATTGTTCACTTCCTTTGTCTCTAATTAAGGGGTCAGGATAAGGATTAGGCATAGGTCGGGGGAAAGGAATGGTGCCCCACCACTTGTGGACGGTCGGGGATTGAACGCCGACCTGCATGAAGCGGGTCTGTCGCTCTACCGTCCAGCTACGACTCAAGATCCACATCCGTTTTGTACTTTATCAGGAGCTGCAGTAATGCAGGTGTGTGGGAGCGTCCTGTGCGGCCTCCCTCACCACTGTGGTAGTGTACAGCACACTGCACAGTGTGGTGTACACTACACAGTACAATGTGGTGTCTCGGAGAGGCTGCAGGATCCGTGGTAGGTCAGGATGATTTCCCGGTTGCAATTCTGTTACCATGTCGTAGCTCATTCGATTAAGGCAGTGTCTGGGATGCTCTTGGACGTAGGTTCGAATTCTCGTCACGGCCCTTGTGGATTTGTTCGTTTGATGCATCAAGCTATTGTGATTTCTGTGAGTAAGATTAACAGTCTGTGACTGTTAATTAACGGTTCTGTGACTATACTATACTTGTCCATACAGGTTCCGGGGTTCGATCCTCGGTGGAGGCAGAAACAAATGGCCAGAGTTTCTTTCACCCCTGATGCCCCTGGCCTAGTCGAGGACCGGGCCGCGGGGACGGAAAGCCCTGAAAATCATCTCGTCTCAAGATAGTACTAAGCGGGACATATACCCGAGGGAACCATATTCATATTTCATCTCCGAATACCTCCGAATTGGGGGACCTTTGACAAGCCGCCGGCTTCCTGTCTTCATCGAGGCCACATTAGTGATCCTCAGGTAAATTCAGGTAAAAATCCCATCTCCCAGAAGCCTGTCCTGTAACTGATCTTCTATTATGCATAATGCTGTCCACAACAGTCAGCAGGGTAGAGGGTGAGGGATCTGACCAACCCACCCTCTCCCTTCTGTCCCTGAAATGGGAAAGGAAAGGAACTATGAGGGGAAAGCGGCAAGCCTTTACGGCTATTTAGCACTTGGAAGGGGTCAGGATAAGGATTTGGGATGGGACGGTGGGGGGGGGGGGGAAATAGGAAATGGGAAACTTTTTTTTTCTTTGATTCATTTACATTTCAGCCTCACAAGATGAGGCGTGTGAGTACCTCATGAATTGTAATCCCTCTCAGTACTCACCCACAGCTTCAGGGCCCATCACAACACTCACCTACAGCTTCAGGGACCATCACAACACTCACCCACAGCTTCAGGGCCCATCACAACACACACCTACAGCTTCAGGGACCATCACAACACTCACCTACAGCTTCAGGGACCATCACAACACTCACCCACAGCTTCAGGGCCCATCACAACACTCACCTACAGCTTCAGGGACCATCACAACACTCACCTACAGCTTCAGGGACCATCACAACACTCACCTACAGCTTCAGGGACCATCACAACACTCACCTACAGCTTCAGGGCCCATCACAACACTCACCTACAGCTTCAGGGACCATCACAACACTCACCTACAGCTTCAGGGACCATCACAACACTCACCTACAGCTTCAGGGACCATCACAACACTCACCTACAGCTTCAGGGACCATCACAACACTCACCTACAGCTTCAGGGACCATCACAACACTCACCTACAGCTTCAGGGACCATCACAACACTCACCTACAGCTTCAGGGACCATCACAACACTCACCCACAGCTTCAGGGCCCATCACAACACTCACCCACAGCTTCAGGGCCCATCACAACACTCACCCACAGCTTCAGGGACCATCACAACACTCACCTACAGCTTCAGGGACCATCACAACACTCACCTACAGCTTCAGGGACCATCACAACACTCACCTACAGCTTCAGGGACCATCACAACACTCACTTACAGCTTCAGGGACCATCACAACACTCACCTACAGCTTCAGGGACCATCACAACACTCACCTACAGCTTCAGGGACCATCACAACACTCACCTACAGCTTCAGGGACCATCACAACACTCACCTACAGCTTCAGGGACCATCACAACACTCACCTACAGCTTCAGGGACCATCACAACACTCACCTACAGCTTCAGGGACCATCACAACACTCACCCACAGCTTCAGGGCCCATCACAACACTCACCCACAGCTTCAGGGACCATCACAACACTCACCTACAGCTTCAGGGACCATCACAACACTCACCTACAGCTCCTAGGACGCTTACAAAACACTTTCCATACGTGGAAGCGATGACCCAGCCCGGGTAGTCTTTGATGATAGTGCAGTTCACCATTCTGGCTGACGTCGAGGACCAGACCTTGTGGGACGACACTGGTCTGGTTCCTGGTCGACGCTTCGGTGTCAACCACACACACACACACACTCGCCGGGTCCTGGTCGACGCTTCTGTGTCACCCACACACACACACACGCGCGCGCCGGGTCCTGGTCGACGCTTCGGTGTCAACCACACACATACACACTCGCTGAGTCCCGGTATAACACAGACTGATACCGGAGAACAACACCAGAGGCTGAATACTGAACATCCGGTGGGGACTTTACTCCTGTGTCTTTCAGGCATCTCATTATGACATGGTAATCAGAAGACGGCATCCGCTCGTCCCCTTCCTCTACATCAGTCTTGTGGGCAGTCTAAATATGTCATCGCGATTCATTTGTTTATTGACTCGCGCTCCTCGGTCTTTCTCCAAGCTGGGATATCCTGCGCGAGTTTCCATACATTCTGCAGCATTTTTGTGTCGTTTGGAGGGAGTGAGATCTGCCCGAACTTCCTGGTAGTATACGAACCTGGGGCCAGATTCACGAAGCAGTTACACAAGCACTTACGAACCTGGGGCCAAATTCACGAAGCAGTTACACAAGGGGCCAGATTCACGAAGCAGTTACACAAGTACTTACGAACCCTGGGGGCCAGATTCACGAAGCAGTTACACAAGCACTTACGAACCTGGGGCCAAATTCACGAAGCAGTTACACAAGCACTTACGAACCTAGGGCCAGATTCACGAAGCAGTTACACAAGCACTTACGAACCTGTGCATCTTTTCTCAGTCTGTGGCGGCTTTGTTTACAATTATTAAACAGTTAATGAGCTCCGAAGCACCAGGAGGCTGTTTATAACAATAACAACAGTTAATTGGCAAGTTTTCATGCTTGTAAACTGTTTAATAAACGTAAACAAAGCCGTCAAAGATTGAGAAAAGATGGACACGTTCGTAAGTACTTGTGTAACTGCTTCGTGAATCTGGCCCCAGGTTCGTAAGTGCTTGCGTAACTACTTCGTGAATCTGCCCCCCCCCCCTTCCTGGCTCCCATATACCTGACTGTACCCGTCTACCTTTTGTCTGGGAGAGGGGAAGGTAAGTCAGGTGTTTACTATGAAGGTTACTCGCGATTGCCACCAGATGGGAGCACTGGTTCACCGTCATCATCTCTGAAAAGAACTTGGCTTGAAAAACTTTATTTCACAATGAAATCACACAAAAATGTCATGTATATTTGAATAAAATATTGTCATGTGATGGGGAGTCTAGAGATACGAGTTCGATCCTAATGTAGATCCTCAATATTTTTAAAAAATTAGATTTTTTCACAAAGATGGTGTTGATAACAAATTGGCCACATTTGGACGACCACTGCAGAAATCGGCTATCTAACCATCCCATGTTTCCTGCTTGATTGATAATCTTAATTGGCAGGCGACCACACACTAGAAAGTGAAGGGACGATGATGTTTCGATCCGTCCTGGACCATTTTCATGTCGATGATCGACTTGAGAATGGTCCAGGACGGACGGAAACGTCGTCGTCCCTTCACTTTCTAGTGTGTGGTCTGGTCAACTTATATGAATTTGCTCCCGTGTGAGCCTCTGGTCTCTATATAAACAACAATGGCTGCCCTCCTTCCTCCACTCTGACGCCTGGCTTACATTGTCCAGATTTCAGAACGTGATAGAAGGGTCACATTTACTCTACTTTAATATTGATAATTAAGTTAATTTATATAAGATGTTTTTATGATGGTAAAGTCCAAAGACTAATGTATTTAAGAACAATTCCCAGCAGAATAGCTGGTGAATTATAATAGTATGTGGTGATGATATCCCGTTTTCTATAGACGGTAATTCCACTACAAGTTACGTTTTCTATGGGTAACTTGTTGGTAATACAGCTATTATCTGTATGATTATTAAATGGTGTCGGATTTTCCGACATAATTCCCCAGGGGGCTGCTCACGGGTCGAAGTCCTGTTTAGAACAGACGAACACCGATACTCCTCCTTCGAATTATTACATTAATTTGATGTTAGTAGTTAGTAATCACACATTTGTGTGTCTGTTCGTACAGGACGGATGTCCCGTACTAGAGTTGCAGGGGTTAGAAGTCTAATGCGATTTCATTTCCCTGTCAACTCTTGAAAGGCTAATATTCAAGCCTAATTACATATTATTTAACCCAGAAGACTGGATGTGATCAAGTACTACAGTCAAGTATGATTCAGGGACTGCAGTGAGATCAGTGACATTAGATATAACTTGAAGTTTGTTCAAGTAACTGGTCACTGATATATAAACACTGAGGCCCATGGAATACATCTTGATTAAATAATAAATGTATCAAATCAGTCATCAGATTTATTGGGGTTTTAATTTAGTTAATTGATTCAGAAGATTGAATAGCTCATCATTAAAGTAAAGTATGGTTCTGAGACTGCAGGGGGTTCAGTGACATTGGTCGCAGTGACTTGTAGCTGTTTTAGGCTACTGTTCACTGATTTGCCACTGAGGCCTCATGAACTCATCTTCAGCTTTAAATGATGATACTAACATCAACCTCTGTTACTATAGTCAGCTGTAATCTCCTTAGTATAATGCTACTGGAGAAATATAATCAGCTGACAAATTTAGATTTCTACTGGTATTGCTTATCTGCAGGCATAGGTCTCCTCAGGCTTGATACTGGGCCTGAGAGTAATTTACCTCCTGCAGAGTTTAACATGGTTATACCCTGATATTTAGTAGGGCTACCGATGAATCGATGACAATAGTCTGTCCCAACAAGGAGACCGAAGTCAGTGAGGTGATCAGACTTAATATTATCTGCCAATTTTATTCCTCTATTTCTCAGGAATTTGGCTGTTGCTCTCAGACCTTGAACTTGTAGGTCTACTGGTATTTTGTCCACCACAATGGCTTGTACTCGACAGACGTACCTGCCTAAACGTACTGATGGTTGTACCACCTGGTAGACTTGAGGTCCTGCATCTGTTACAAACCCTGAGATGTTGAATGACATCTGGGCTACAGGCCTTAATTGTAGTTCATCTGCCAACTTTTTAGTGATATATGTTCTCTGGGAACCTTGGTCAAACAACCCACGGGTATGGACCTTGGCCCTCTTATTCAGGATGGTAATTTGGGCAGTAGGCAAAGTCGTATTACCTTTAGACTTTGCCGATTGGACACTCTTTGTTTGTTGCACCTTGCAGTACTGTACTGAGGTGGGAATGCTATCTTCCACCTTGGGGTTTGGAGACGTTGTTTTGGTGTCTCTGCACAATGCTGCATGGTGCTGACCTTTGTTACACCTATTACAGGTGTGTAATTGGGTCTCACAGTCGTTGATGTTATGTTTCCTGAGGCACCTCGTGCAATGTTGCAAATCTTTGAGTCGCTCAACACGGGCGTCACTATCAGGAAAATTAGGGCAGTGGTACATTGAATGTTTCTCATTGCAGAACAAACATGTTCCATAGCTTCCAGTACCCTTTGTTGTCACGTTCTTGGGTGACACAGTAACTATAGGCTTGGAGGGTCCAACTGCATATACGCCCACACTGCCACTGTTCCACTTTGGTGTTGAATTATATTGTCTAGATTGATTTGGAGTACCTTTGGTACTCTGTAATTTACTATTATTGGTTTCTGAGGGTTTACTTGGTGGTTTTAATTTGTCATGTGTTCGTAATTGATGAACTACTGACTTTAAACCTTCAGATATTTCATTCATGGATAAGATGCTTTTATTGTAATGAGCACTCATTTGTCTCAATATGTCCCTAAGTATTTTCTCCTGGACAATTATTTTCAAGACCCACTCAGCCCCGTTTGTATCTGCTGTCAGGCTGAGGGCATTGATCAATGATTCTACCTCCAGCTTGAAGACTTGGAGTGAATCAGCTGAAGCCTCCGGTGGGGGTAAATGCAACAGCTCATGAACTAAATGTGATGTTCTTACTTCTGGATCAGCATAATTATCCTTGAGGAGTTTTACTGCCAGATCATAGCCGTCATTAGTTAATCTCAGATGGGATACTACTGTTTTAGCCTCACCTGATAATTGGCCTTGCAAATAAGAGAATTTACTACTCTTTGGTAAAGATTGTTTTGAGTCTACAAGGTCAACGAATTTGTTCCAAAATTCATCCCAATCTTCCTCATCTTTTCCTGAGAAAGTGGGTAAATTAATTGGAGGGAGTCGAACTTCTGCTTGACTCGTATTAGATGCAACTGTTGTTGTTGTTGTTGTTGCCTTGTTCTGGGCAATTAATTTGACATAAGGCTGTAACGTGGCCTGAGTGTGATCTTCATAATTCGCAAGATCAACCATAATGTCGTCTATTTCTGTTTCTGATAAATTGGTGTTGGCAAGTTCAGCCACATATGTTGCTATTTGACATTTGATTTGCTCAAATTTACCTGCAGCTGCTTGATAATAGCTTTCCAGGTCAGCGTAATCAACTGTTGATTGTTGTGACAAATCTTCACATTTCTTGATCTGTCTTGTTAAGTGGCCTTTAAGACCTGCAAGGGTTCTTTTCATTCTCCCTGCATTATCCATACTGGCTAGTTGGTGAAGCCTTGTGGGACTTGTACTTGGGCTGCTCATAATACTGAACAAGCTCTAATGGTAGCCTAGGGTAAATTCTGCACTCACTAGGCAATAATCCTACCTCTACTAGAGGTTAGCACTTAAAATTAATACACATTATATATATACAATCATACACACTAATGATTTGAGTGATAAACCAGTGTCACTGGAAGTACCTTTAGGTTAGCTCTTCTATATCACCCTAGGATGGTAGAGACACTAATTAATCACTCAAAGGTGTAATGATCATAATTAATTTATTATATATACAACTCAACTCGAGTTGATAAAAATTACACCCAAATAGGGTCTGGACCATTCATTAATGGTGTTAGGTTGTTCAATATAGTACAACTGACTATTGTAATAATGGGACTAGGATGAACAATAATAGTTCAACTAGTCAATGGTTAATATCCTACCCTGTTGTGGGTTGGCACTTAGTAAATATTATACTGTGATCACTAGTGCAATATATATTAAATAATTCTCTATTTTGGAGAAATAATGTACACAATTATTGATAATAGCCTCTTAATTACCTCTATGAAACTTCTAATATTATCTAGAAGTATTAAATATTATTAGTGACCTCGCGAAATAAACTCCACAAAATTCGTAGATAATCTCTCGCGAAATGTAACACCACGAAATCCGTGAACAATCTCGCGACACAGTCACTAGTTTGGCTGGCTTCAATATTAGCGCTGTCATTTCACGAAATAACACGCCACCAAATATGTGTGGGTGTGCATGAAACTGCTGACGAAGCTGAACTCGGCTGAGGGAGGCTCCTGAGCTCCTCGAGGCTACGCTGCCGTCTTGACTGGCTTTGTTTAAATAACA